TTTCTTCTCTTTGTTCCATCCATGATTTCGTTTGACGACCATAGCGCTCTTCTGAAATCCTCCTCTCATACAGTCAGACGTGCCTGCTGCAAGGTCACTTGGCCTTTTGCCATGCCCATTCTTCTCATAATCCAACGTCTCTTTTTTTTTCCTTGCTTCCCGCAGAGTATGACAAAGGTGTTGATCAAAGTCGCCTTCTACAAAATTCTCTCGTATTTTGTCCCATATAAGCCTCCCTTCTGTTCCACAGATCAAATCCCGTTGCTCTGCATCCGTAAAGTTCATAAGGACGACAAAACACTTGTCATATTCAGACAATGCCCAGACCTTGCGGGAAGCACGCTCACATTCCATCAGGAAGTACCCTACTGACACATAATTATATCGATCTATCTTCTCAAGATCGTCTTTGGTCAAGTGTTCCTCCATGATGACCCCGCTCTTCTAACCAACCCACTGACTTCCTCCTTCAAGCCTACATGGATATACTTTATGACCTCCTTTAACATCTGCTCCTCATTCCACTCGCAGTGAGACGCTATCTGTCCGAACTTGTCAAGGAAGTTAGAAACATAATAGCCCTTGAAGAAGTCGATCTCAACCTTGGGTAGGTTGTCTCGCTCCCAATCTCGCAGACTCGGTAGAAAGGCGAGCACCTCGACCCCAATCTTCCCTTGAGAACCTTCCATCTCGAGCTCCCTCGACCCCATCACCTGTTGAACAACAACGAGCGACGTTAGGGTCGAGGCTCGAAGGAAGTTACGTAACTAAATCTAATGCAAAATATATCCCTACTAAATTATGCCGTTCTCATCATGAAAGCGCATATAAGAATCTATTCGGAATAACGACGATATCGAAGAGAGGCTTTTAAGCAAATATCCACTTAGAATAAATCACAAGTATTCACTGATAAATCGCTCAAATCATAACTCAGACATTAACCACTTATCAATTCTATTATCCAAAAAGGACACAATATACATATGCCATATAGGTGGACACTCCAGAGTCCAAACATGAATCCAAAATGCAGTACAACCTGTGATAAATAACATATACCAATTATTTACTAGGGTTGTAGGCTTGTAGCTGAAAAACACATATGCTTCAGAAATAACCAACATAAAGCCAACTCTACTGCCAGTCATATAACAAGATAAACCTCAACAACATATTCCATATTCTATAAGGCAAAAATAAGGCTAGCAATGAGTAAATAACATGATACAATTCTTACCCCTTCAACTCTTAAGCGAAGCATACATTACAGAAGGGCGGTGTACTCCTCATAAGATAACATCTTAACTCCTTAGCCCCGCTCTAAAGATCAAGCCTCACCGCAACCCTCTCTGATTCAAGCGCTTGCACCTCACCGACCCTATCATGGTCAGATGGACAACCCCTTTCATACCTATCAAGGCAACGAACAACGAATTCGCGCCCTTACAAATATGGTGGCCCTGCTTAATGCAAGACGAGCCTAGGTCACTACTCCAGAACCGCTCTCACTAATCAATAGTTGTTCCACTTGGCCATCACAGTTTCGGTAAGGTAACAAGCCCCTTCCTCTTCTCTCAACGGAGAATGTAATTACTCTCCTATCATAGGAAAGGTAACAACACCCCACTAATGGACCAGGAATATAATTCCGGCGTGAGTCTCACTATCATTCTTGAGACGGATAACTGCTTCCTTAAGCCTCCATGAGGGGATAACAATTCAAGAATGCACTTCCACTGAGGACAACTATACACGCTCACTCACTTCCTTGAGGAAGAATCACCTTCCCCAGGAATGAGTCACCCCATTCACCTCTGGGCTGAGGCAGAGCAGCAAGGTTGGGGAAGAGAGACGGAGGGAGTGAGAGCACACACACACACTCACTCAACTCGACACGGACTCGACACGGACTCAACACGACTCGACGGACGTGGACATAAAGTGGCAAACTGGCAAAGTCGCAATCTTGGTTTCGTACACAATGTTGCAGCAAGTCACACTGTTACATGTTGCGCCTGCACACGAGGGCCATTTTCCAGGCCCTGCGTCCCTCAGCCTGAAAGCCTGAAAAACGGGGCCTACAGGCCCCGTGTCTGTTCAACTCGAAAGCCTAAAATACAGGGGCCTGCAGACCCTGTGTCGTTTCAGACTAAAAATGGCAATAACCTTTTTAGCCTGAAATGAAGGGCCATTTTCGGTCGTTCATCACAACGACCGGCCCTGAAACTCAGGCACTGAACCAGGGTTTCGGGGACAGGCTATTCTTAGCCTGTTCCCACGACAGCCTCAGCAGATGTTGCAGCTCCAGCCCCTGGCACACTTCGGCATTGGCAAGAGTAGCCTCCTCGGCCTGGCTCGCCCTGCAGGCAGCCAGGAGGCAGACCGAGGTAGTACATAGGGACTTCCCATGCACTTCCCGGGCAAGCAGGAGGCAGTCAGTAGTCTTCAGGATTCGGCAGCAGCACTCTGGAGGGAGAGCTGCAGGAGTAATAGAGCGTTAGCCTTAGTCTTCAGCGCTGGGCGCCATGGCTAAGATAGCATTATAGAGAGAGAGAGATTGGGCGGAGGCCAGAGATACCTACCTGCAGCGCCGTTGCTCCAGCTTCATCTTCGAGGTACCTGCAGCACAGCGCCAACTTCACAGGTTAGTACCTGGCTCGTGACAGAGAGAGAAAGTTCTTCTTCTTCCTTTTCTCAGTCCACCATCTCCCTCTCACCCTCTCATTATCTGACTTCACTGCATCAGCAGACTACGAGAGAAAGAGAGAGAGAGAGCTTGGTGACATTGGATCCAGACTCGACTTTTGGGCTTCAGACACTGCGACGAGGGATTATTTGGGACTTGTGACAAAGACTTGGTGTTGACGACATTCCCATCTCTTCCCCTCCTCTTCGTCTGTGTATGTCTGGACCTGGCGCTTCTTTCCTGTGTACAGCGCCAGGCTCCTTCACACCTTGTGATGGACACGATGTAGGTTTGGTCTGCGTTCAAACATTGATTGGGCTAGTCATTAGCATTCTAGCATTCTGCTTCGCTATCTTATACTACGTGAATGAGGTCAGTCCCGGTCAGGTTAGGATATGTATCTAAGTCTTCCCTGCGCTATTCAGCACCATTTTGTATGTATCAGAATGCACATTGCTTGTTGAGATTCTACTTACACTGGATTTTCCATTCATGTTTTTTTATCACATTGCGGATCCTCGGTTTCTATGTACATCGCCCAACTGGGCATGTAACAGTTGGTATCGGAACGCCGTACGTGAATCAGGACAACCTGATCTGATACGTGTGCGGGGACTAGGTAGCTGATCAGTCTTTGTTGATTGATTGGAGCACAGTAGTTAGCCCCCAAAATCACGATTTTGACCTTAATGCACAAAATCGATTTTTTTTTTCTTTTCTTGGATTTTGTTTTCTTGCTATTCTGTTGTGGAAAATCGCAATAGTGCAACATCTGAAATTTGCATTTTCGTTTTTCTTCTGAAAATTCGAAATTTCATTGTTGAAAATCCGGAATATCCTTCTTTTCGAAAATTTCGATTTCCTATTGCATTTCCCGTTACTTAGAAATTCGGAATATGTTCTTTTTCGAAATTCGTTTTTTATGAAAACAGTACGGGAAATCCCGCCTGCGGGTATTATTTTCCAAACTGTGAATACTCTCATCTTGTCATTTCTTTTCGGAATTTTTTCTTCGCAGTTCTAGGATTCTTTTAGTTAGTTTTATAAATCATTTGCGGTCTGAAGCTCGAAATTTTTTCCTCATTGATAGTTTCGCACTTCAAGGGAGGTTGGGAGACCTACTCAACTTGCAAAACTCGGGATTTTTATTTTTCTCGAAATTTTTTTTGCAAAGTTCAAACTTTTCTTTTTTGATTAGTGGCTCCTTATCTAGGCGATTCTTCCCACCCACCCTCCCCACCTATGTTGTTGCCACCTCTCGCCCCACCTTCTCTACCTGTCTCCGGGTACCCCCTGCGGCGGCATTGGTGAGTTGCCACGTCAACACGCCACGTCAGCAGACTACGTCAGCAGACTACGTCAGCAAGACACGTCAGCAGGACACGTCAACAGGACACGTCAGCCGACAGCAGTGCCACGTCAGCAGCAGGGAATACCACGTCAGCAGGCCCCCGGCCTGGTCTATGTTGTTGCGTTCACAAACAGCCGTCATGGACAAGAGGTCCGGAGAAGCAGACGAGGCCTATCACGCCCGGATGCTGGCCTGGAGTACCGAAACAAGAGCCGTGGTCGCGAAGGCAACGCCGTTTGACCAAACTAGTGAGGCCGTGTCTCCCAATGAAGGAGACAGACTCGCAGCCGCCCAGGAAGGTGGCCGCCCTGACAAAGGCCGAGGACGCAGCAAGACGAAGACACACCACACCTAGCCTCGGGCCCGGCGCAGCAGCTCAAGCCCCATGGTCCCAATACGACATCTCCGAGCAAGCATTCAAAGCGCGCACGAGATTCCACTACTGCCTATAGTGCAACAGCGATCTCCATGAGACACTGGCCTGCCCGTTGAAAGGCAAGGGCAAACAGGGAAACTGAGCACCGCCGAGAGTGACTCGACGACACTCTAGACACCTACGGAACCGGTCTCTTCGCGAGTGACCGGCCTTCATTCCGAGGCGCATGCGGAAGTCGATAGTCCTCTTCTGCATTCTTTTGAGGGCTATGCTGCCCGGCTCGTTCCTACGCTGGTTACTCAAGCTCAAGGACAAGACGTGTGTGTCGCATGTTCTCCATTCGACAGCGGCGACTTATCGTCTTCAAGTGGTTCTTCACGGGATTCGGCGCGCGAGTTCAACATAGAGGTATTGGACCCGCTCACGTCCGAGGACTTCGCATGGCTTCCTCTACCGACCACGGGCCGCCCGCCGGAACCGCAATGCGCAACACTATGCGCTCATCTCCACACGTACTTATCCTTCTATGCACCACCAACTTCGCCGACGGATGACGAAGTCGCGGTGGGGGACATACTTGCGTATGTTACCAAGGTGGCCCGCGAGTTTCRCACACAGCGGTACGATGACAACAACGCACCGCTCATGTATGTCCGCATCCAGGTTGGGCAAGCGTCCTGCAGCGCTTTGCTGGATAGCGGCGCGTCTCGCAATTTTATGAGCCAAGCCTTTATGCAAAGGGCTGGCCTTGGCGCACGAGTTCGGAGGAAGGCAAACCCGACAACGATCAAGTTGGCAGATGGAAAGACACAGCAACTTCTCGACCGTTACATCGAGGCCGTACCGGTTTATTTCGCACCTCATGCATGCGAACCGGTGACGTTCGACATTCTCGACACGGACTTCGACATCATTCTGGGAATGCCTTGGCTTGCAAGTGCGGATCACACGGTCAACTTCCACCGGCGGACTCTTAGCGTTCGCGACGCCTTTGGCGCCAAAGTGGCGTGTACTATTCCTCTACCGCACCCTTCAATTCGGTGCCAGGTGGTGACGGCCAAGCCATTCCGGGCGACTTGCGCTTACGAGCAGCCCAAGGAAATCAGCCTATGTTTCCTACGGACCGTCGCGGTAGCCGACTCTTCACCCACGGACTTGTCTTCGGACCCCCGGGTGGTGAGGTTGTTGGACAAGTTCGCCGACATCTTTGAGTCACCTACCGGTGTGGTGCCAGATCGGCCGATCTCTCACGAGATCATTCTTGAGGCCTGTGTCGGGCCGCCGAAAGGTTGCATCTATCGGATGAGCGAGGAGGAGCTTGCGGTCCTCCGCGCATAACTCGACGACTTGTTGGCCAAGGGCTAGATCCGCCCTAGTAGCTCCCCATATGGAGCACCAGTTCTCTTCGTCCGGAAGAAGAACAAGGATCTACGATTGTGTATCGACTACCGCAAGCTCAACGCACAAACCATCAAGAATGTGGGGCCTCTTCCTCGCATCGACGATCTTCTTGGGCGATTGGGCGGCGCAAAGTATTTTTATGAGTTAGATTTGAAATCGAGATATCATCAAATCTCGATCCGGCCGAATGATCGCTACAAATCCGCGTTCAAGATGCAGTACGGGCATTTTGAGTGGGTGGTCATGCCTTTTGGCCTCACCAACGCCCCGCCGACCTTTCAAGCGGCAATGACCAACGAGTTCCGTGCAATGTTGGACCGTTCCGTGCTGGTCTACTTAGACGATATTCTCGTCTATAGTCGGACATTGGAGGATCATCTTGGGCATCTTCAACGAGTGTTGGAGACGCTTCTCCGCGCCAAGTGCGAATTTGTCCGGCAAGAGCTGGAATACTTGGGCCATTTTATCACACCGGAGGGCATCAGTCCGCTATCGGACAAGATTCAAGCCATCCAAGAGTGGCCGGAGCCTCGTCACGGATGTCCGCTCGTTCCTTGGTCTTGCCATCTACTATCAATGTTTCATCAAAGGCTACTCGAAGATCGCGGCCCACTTAACCAAGCTTCAATGCGAGGATCGGCCGTTTGACTTTGGAGAGGAGGCGCGGGAATCATTTTTGACTCTCAAAGCCGCGCTATTATCTGCGAAGGTCTTGCGGATATACGACCCGCTTTTTCCTACGCGCGTCACTACGGATGCGTCAGGCTATGGCATTGGTGCAGTCCTCGAGCAACATGATGGTGTGGACTGGCACCCGGCCGAGTATTTCAGCAAGAAAGTGCCCGTCCTGCATTCCATTGACGATGCACGCAAGGAGCTCCTCACCTTCGTCCACGCCCTCAAGCGGTGGCGACACTTCCTCCTTGGTTGAAGCCAATTCCGATGGGTAATAGACAACAATTTGTTGGTCTTCTATAAGACCCAAGACACCGATCACATTCCCGGGAAGTCGAACCGTCTTGCGGATGCTCTTTCACGGCGTCCGGATCATTGTACCGCGGTCTACTCAACCTTCGAGATTGACGATGACCTGCGGAACAGCTTCATCCGCGGCTACCAAGCCGACCCCGAGTTCCACGACAAGTACGTGAATTGCTCCTCTCCTAACCCGGTGCCTTCTCACTACCGGATCCAAGAGGGGTACTTGCTTGTCCACACACGGGGGAAGGACCTTCTTTGCGTACTGAGTGATCCTCACTTGCGTAGACTGCTTCTTGGCGAGTTCCACGATGCTCCCGCCACCGGACACTTTGGAGTCAATCGCACAATTGGCCGACTTCGCGAGCGATTTTGGTGGCCCGGCCTTCTCGGCGACGTCACACGCTATTGCGAGTCATGCGAGGTTTGCCGAAGCTGCAAATCCCGCAACCACCGTCCGTACGGCGAGTTACAACCATTACCGGTCCCTTTGAGGCGAAGGGAAGCGATTGCCATGGACATTACCAGCCCGTTCCCCAAGCACAAGACCGACGTGGATGGGATTCTTACGGTGGTCGACCGACTCACCAAGTTTGCCATGTTTTTGCCTTGCTGCTATCATGCCAAGGCATCGGAGTTGGCCGACGTTCTTTACGCCGGCTGGATTCGAACCAAGGGTTACCCCAAGGAGATCGTCTGCGACCTTGACACTCGGTTCATGTCCGATTTTTGGTTGGCGCTCATCAAGCGATGGGGCTTATCTCTCAAGCCCAGTTCAGCTCGCCACCCCCAGACCGATGGCCAAACGGAGAGGGCGCACCAAACCGCACAGGTTCTCCTTCGCACTCTCATCCGTCCTGACCAGAAGGATTGGGTTGAGCGGTTGCCGGATGTCGAGTTGGCCTACAACTCCTCCATCCACCCGGCTATCGGGATGTTGCCCTTCGAGTTTGAGCACGGCTCGCCGGTCACTTCACCATTGGACACTATCACTCCACGAGCGACCGAGAGTGACGACCATCTTCTTTTCTTGCGTCAGACGCAACAAGTTCTTGTTAAGGCACGCGACCAGATGGCTAAGATGCATCAGCGCATGAGCCAGCACGCCAATCGTCACCGTCTTCCTTGCCCATTCCGCGCAGGCGACCTCGTTTGGGTTTCCGCAGCGGAATTCAGCCTTGAACAAGACATCTCTCGTAAGCTCCTCCCGAAATGGATGGGGCCCTGGCCGATCATGGCACCCTCTGGAGATGCACCTGAAGGACCTTCCTTCACCATTCAGGTGCCCGCCCACTTGCCCGTCTACCCGGTCTTTCATTGCTCCAAGCTGGCTCTGTACACACGCCAGCAGACCATGACGATTTTCCCGGGCGACGATCGCAAGACCCACCCTCTATGGACGGTTTTCAAGAGGTCAGCGATATCATTTCCCAGCGTCGCTACCGCAACAGGCCGAGTGAGTATCTGGTCCATTTTGCATACTGCAGCCACAGAGCTGACCGTTGGTTGAACCGTGCGGAACTGCAAACGACAGCTCCAGACGTTCTCGCACGCTACGAACGCAAGATGCAAGGCAAGCCGGTATCTTTGGCTCCACGCCGCACCCACGTTCCTGTTCCGCCTTCAGACCGTCAGCTTCGCCCCCAGCCCGGTTTGACTTCATAAGGAGGGGGGGTGTTACATGTTGCGCCTGCACACGAGGGCCATTTTCCAGGCCCTGCGTCCCTCAGCCTGAAAGCTTGAAAACCAGGGCCTACAGGCCCTGTGTCTGTTCAGCTCGAAAGCCTGAAATACAGGGGCCTACAGACCCTGTGTCGTTTTAGACTAAAAATGGCAATAGCCTTTTTAGCCGGAAATGAAGGGCCATTTTCGGTCGTTCATCACAACGACCGGCCCTGAGACTCAGGCACCAAACCAGGGTTTCGGGAACAGGCTATTCTTAGCCTGTTCCCACGACATCCTCAACAGATGCTGCAGCTCCAGCCCTTGGCACACTTCGGCATTGGCAAGAGCAGCCTCCTCGGCCTGGCTCGCCCTGCAGGCAGTCAGGAGGCAGACCGAGGTAATACATAGGGACTTCCCATGCACTTCACGAGCAGGCAGGCGGCAGTCGGTAGTCTTCAGGATTCGGCAGCAGCACTCTGGAGGGAGCGCTGCAGTAGTCGTAGTAGCGTTAGCCTTAGTCTTCAGCGCTGGGGGCCAGTAGGTAGCTGTAGTCTTCAGCGTTGGGCGCCATAGCTAAGATAGCACTAGAGAGAGAGAGAGAGATTGGGCGGAGGCCAGAGATACCTACCTGCAGCACCGTTGCTCCAGCTTCGTCTTCGAGGTACCTGCAGCATAGCGCCAACTTCACAAGTTAGTACCTGGCTCGTGACAGAGAGAGACAATTCTTCTTCTTCCTCTTCCCGGTCCACCATCTCCCTCTCACCCTCTCATTATCTGACTTCACTACATCAGCAGACTACGAGAGAAAGAGAGAGAGAGAGCTTGGTGACGTTGCATCCAGACTCGACTTTTGGGCTTCAGACATTGCGACGAGGGATTATTTGGGACTTGTGACAAAGGCTTGGTGTTGACGACATTCCCATCTCTCCCCCTCCTCTTCGTCTGATCCCCTCCTCTTCGTCTGTGTATGTCTAGACCTGGCGCTTCTTTCCTGTGTACAACGCCAGGCTCCTTCACACCTTGTGATGGACACGATGTAGGTTTGGTCTGCGTTCAAACATTGATTGGGCTAGTCATTAGCATTCTGGCATTCTGCTTCGCTATCTTATACTACGTGAATGAGGTCAGTCCCGGTCAGGTCAGGATTTGTATCTAAGTCTTCCCTGCGCTATTCAGTACCATTTTGTATGTATCAGAATGCACATTGCTTGTTGAGATTCTACTTACACTGCATTGTCCATTCTGTCTTTTTTATCACATTGCGGATCCTCGGTTTCTATGTAAATCGCCCAACTGGGCATGTAACACACACTGAAGCACAAGCACTGAGGCCGAAAACTGCGTCCCCGAACTCAGCTTGAGTCGGGTCCGAAGTACCGGACTCAAATTGAGTCCGAGGGCAAAAGTGCAATTGCCTCAGGGCTGAACTGAAAATCGAAGGTCTGAGCCAGGGGCCCAGAATGTCGGATGGCGCCAAGTACAAAATCCGAAAGTGGCAGAGGCGGGATTTGAGAACGGGCGCCAACTGCAGAGGGCGCCAACTGCAGAGGGCGCCAACAGTCAGGAACTAGAGATCAGAGACTCCAAAAAAAATAGAAAAGCAGCCTGGCGGGTGGTAACCCGCTGACCAGGGATCGAGCCCTGGTTGGGTCTGTAACAGAGAGAGAGAGAGAGAGAGAGAGAGAGAGAGAGAGAGAGAGAGAGAGAGAGAGAGAGAGAGA